ACTACTGCTGCAATACTCTGCTAGGGGTTAATCCCCAAACCCTAACAGACTTCCTCTTCTGGATGACCGATGGGAGGAAGGTGGTGTGCACAGTGGCTTTTGTGCTCTGCTAAGGAGCAAAGCAGCAGCTGGAAGGTGAGTTGAGGCTAGGCTGAAGCATAGCAGCTGCTGCTGCATGTTCCTTCCCTCCCCAAATTGAAGCCCACTGGTACTGTAAACTCTGAAACTGGTGGCTGCAATCTTCTGGTGGGAAGATTTTAAAAATCTGTTTCAAGGTAAGGTTGATTCTTTGGGAATGGCTTCCCCTCCACATGTTGTCAGTGCTCCATCACTGGAATGAGCTGAAACTTCTGTCCCTATCCTCTGCTCATTTCAGACAAGTGGCTGTGCAGTCTCTCTTTTTAAAAGCCACCACTGATGGAGCACCCACAACTCCTGAAGACAAGCTTTTCCACTCGTTAATTGTTCTCACTGTCAGTATTGTGTCATAGGAAAGGAGTTTGTCATAACAGGAAGTTCTAGGTTGCTTCTCTCCTTGATTAGCTCCATCCATTGCTTCTTGTCTTGCCTTCTGGTGCTTTGGAAACTAAGTTGACACCCTCTTCTTTATGTCAACTCCTCAAGTATTGGAACTCTGTTCATCCATTCAGTGTTTGTATTTTTACTTCCATGTCTTGCCAATAAGTATGGTTATTTTCTCTGTCATCCATGTATTAACCAGGTTCAATTATGCTTAATCCAGTGTTTTCTAATAAATAGCTATTGAGGACCTTTTGGCATCTTTCATTGCACAGGTACTTCTCACCACTTCTTCCCTGAGCCTTCAAAGTTACTATGACATGGGATGTCAGCAGAGGGGTTGTGGAAGGTGTATTCTGCTCTTATTTGTAGCGGAGGGCTTCTATGAGCCAAAAGTGTTGCTTCAAATCTTGCAGAGGCTTTAGGCATCATTTCATCAGTTTAAACCCACAGATCCCTAAATTTAGCTCAGAAGGTTTGACTGTAACCATTTTGGGATATTTTGTCAGGTTTGAAAGACAGATTTTCACCATGTATACATACTACATATGTAGGTGGATGTATCTATTTCTTTCTATAGGCGTATATCTGCAATTATATAATCTATATCCAGCACTTCCAGATATATTTCATGGTCACACTTTGCATTGCTAAAAAAAATTGTGATTGACCCCAATCAACAACTGAATTTGAATGGAAATTTGAACATGGAGCTCAGTAGTCCTCCATGTATCAAATGAACCATAAATAATGTAAGAGATTATTCCAGTATAGGGGCATGTTTCGTTTTCATTGTAATATATAATATAATATTAATGTTATGTAATATAATTTCTTATTTTTTCACATCATCTCTAACCATTTTATAAACAATTAAAGTTCCACTTTTCTTTGAATCTTACAGACAAAGAAGATGGCAATAAGAGCACTCAGGACAACTGTAAATAACAAGCGACATTGAAAATGGAAGAAAATCAAGCCAAAAATCAAAATATTTTCCATTTCCTTCAGAAACCACACACAATTCTCCTCCTCCTCCAGAAGTTTAGACAAAAGAGAGAAAATCAAGAAAGAATAAACAGATTATGCAGAACTCAAGGATAAATTACGTGAAAAGTCAAGGGAGGTTCATTCAGCAAAAGAGAAATATCTGGAAGTCAGTGGGGAGGAAAAGGTCAATAACAAAAGTCACGTAGAACACACAGGAATGCAGGCCTCTCCTTGTGAGGAAGAAAACTGCTTGAATTAAAGCACCACTAAACAAGACAGTGTCCATATTTTTTTCCTCCTCAAGAATATCAGTTATGGAAAAGCTCCATAGATTTGCCTATTGTGGGAAAAGCACAGGTTGCACATCACAGCTGATTATGTACTAGAGGAGCCAGAAAGGAGAAAAGCCATAAAAATTACCTCAATGTGGCCAAATCTTGTCAAAAAGCTCCCTTGGGGTTCATGGAAGCACCCACACAAGAGAGAAGCCATAAAAGTGCTCCCAATGTAGTAAATGCTTTAGTGAGCATAGTAATGTGGTTATACATCAGAGGTCTCATAGCAGGGACAAAATGTATGAGTGTGCAGATTGTGTGAAAGTTTCATTAGAAATTCCCAGGTCATGAGACACCAAAGGACTCACACACAGGGAAAAACCATTTGAATATCTTTTGTGTGGGAAAAGTTTCAGTGAGAATTCCAGTCTGGTGAAGCATCCAAGGACTCACACAGAAGTGAAACCGTTTGGATATCCAGATTGTGGAAAAATTTTCAGTCATAATTCCATTCTGATTATACATCAGTAGATTGACTCTAGGAAAAACTGTATGAGAAAAGGGATTATGGGAAAAGCTTCATTAGAAATTTCCATCTCACGAGACACCAGAGAACTCACACAGAAGAGAAACCCTTTGAATGTCTGATTATGGGAAAACTTTCAGTTGTAATTCCAACTTACTGATACACCAGAGGAATCACAAAGGAGAAAACCCTTTCACTGTCCTGACTGTGGGTGAATTCCAGCCTGGTAAATACATCACAGGATTCACTCCATGGAGAAACCCTATGAGTGTCGAGAATGTGGGAAAGGTTTTATTAAAAATTCCCACCTCATGAGACACCATAGGACTCACACAGGAGAGAAACCTTTTGAATGTCCTCTCTGTGGGAAATATTTTAGTGATAATTCCAGCCTGGTGAAACACCATAGGACTCACACAGGAGAGAAACCCTTTGAATGTCCTCTCTGTGGGAAACGTTTTAGTGATAATTCCACGCTGGTGAAACACCAGAGAACTCACACAGGAGAAAAACCTTTTCAATGTCCTGATTGTGGGAAACGTTTCATTAGAAATTCCCACTTCATGATACACCAGAGAATTCACACAGGAGAGAAACCATTTGAATGTCCTATCTGTGGGAAAAGTTATAGTGATAATTCCAGCCTGGTGAAACACCAGAGGACTCACACAGGAGAAAAACCCTTTGAATGTTCTGACTGTGGGAAAAGATACAGTCAGAATTCCTACCTGGTAATACATCAGAGGATTCACACAGGGGAGAAACCCTTTGAATGTCCTGACTGTGGAAAAAGGTTCAGTCAGAATTCATCTCTGGTAGTACACCAGAGGATTCATACAGGAGAAAAACCCTTTGAATGTCCTATCTGTGGGAAAAGTTTCAGTCACAATACCAGCCTGATGAATCACCAGAGTACCCACACTGGAGAGAAACCTTTTGAATGTCCTGATTGTGGAAAAAGTTTTAGCCAAAATTCCCACCTCATGAGACACCAGAGGACTCACCCAGGAGAGAAACCCTTTGAATGTCCTATTTGTGGGAAAAGTTTCAGTGAGGATTCCTATCTCATAATACACCAGAGGACTCACACAGGAGAGAAACCCTTTGAATGTTCAGATTGTGGGAAAAGTTTCAGTCGAAATTCCTACCTTATGAACCACCAGAGGACTCACACAGGAGAGAAATCCTTTCAATGCCCAGATTGTGGGGAAAGTTTTGTTAGAAATTTCCACCTCATGAGACACCAGAGGACTCACACAGGAGAGAAACGCTTTAAATGTCCGGATTGTGGAAAAAACTTCAGTCAAAATTCCCACCTCATGAGACACCAGAGGACTCACACAGGAGACAAACCCTTTGAATGTCCTGATTGTGGGAAAAGTTTCAGTCAGAATTCCCACCTCATTAACCACCAGAGTACTCACACAGGAGAGAAACCCTTTGAATGTCCTGACTGTGGGAAAAGTTTCAGTCGAAATTCCCACCTCATGAATCACCAGAGGACTCACACAGGAGAGAAACCTTTTGAATGTCCTGATTGCGGGAAAAGTTTTAGTCGTAATTCCTATCTTGTAATACACCAGAGGACTCATACCATGGAGAAATCTTTCAAATGTCCAGTCTGTGGACTTTACTTCAAGCATAAATCATACCTAATTGCACACAAGGAAATCCACATGAGGCAAAAGTTGAGTTTAGAGAAGTCTTGAATTTCATTTGTGATCTCCCATTCATAAAGTGTAGTTGAGAAATTGACTGTTTGAATTCTGGCCTGGTTCTTTTTCAAACTTTTCTCAGGATTAAGTGGGTAGAGAGAAAAAGAAAGTGGTTATCAGCAGAATCTTCTGGATATTTCCTTTTGCAGAAGTAGTGGAATTTCTCAAAAAGAATTTTGGGTGGTTTTGTATGTTGATTATGGACCCACAAGTGGAATTTCACTACCTTGGTTTTGCTCAGATTTTAAGCCTCAGAATTCCCCACCAGCATAAAAATAGTCCTCTAGATAAAACTATTATGGGTCTTGCAATTACAGTTGTATGTTGCAGCAATTGTTAAGTGAGATTGCTTTCCTTAACTACCCAAATCCCCTTGCTCTCCCTAAGGGAGTTACTAATCGAATGTGCAAGTTTAATAAATCAAATGTGCAAGACTTGTGGAAGTGGGTGCCATTTTGCCACACTGTGCACACTGTCATACAGAAGAGGGACAAATCTGTTTTGCTACCTTAACATAAGGGAAAAAATGTACAGTAGAAAATGTTCCTTTTGAATTATGTTACAATTACCAGTAGATTTTAACATGTAAAAATGGGTATTGTCAGTGTTGCTATGAACATTAGGGCAAGGCAAGATGCTCAGAGTTGCCTCAAACTGTGAGATGAGTATTAAGTTTAATAATAAATGAATTTAATAATAAAAAGGTAATGTAAAGCACATTTCCCAACTCTTTGTCAGTGATGATGACTCCATACATACAGTGGGTTTCTAGTGCACTACAATTATATGGTATACTTGGACTTCAGCAAGACATTTGACAAGATGAACTACAACTTACTTCTAGCTAATATAGAACAATGTGGGATAGACAAAACCTGCACCAGGTGGATTCGCAGTTGAGTGACAAACCACACTCATTCAATAGTCCTCAATGAAGTAGATCTACATGGAGAGAAGCATGCAGTTGGGTACCTCAAGGTTTGGTCTTGGGCCCAGTGCTCTTCAACATCTTCATAAATGATCTAGATGAGGAGATAGAAGGGGAACTCATGAAATTTGCAGATGACACCAAGTTTGAAACTGAACAAGGAGAGATTTAACTTGGAAGTAAGGAGAAACTTTCTGACAGTGAGAACAATCAACCAATGGAACAGATTGCCCTCGGAAATTGTGGGAGCGCCATCACTTGAGACTTTCAAGAAGGGATTGGACTGCCATTTGTCAGAAATGGTGTAGGGTCTCCCGCTTGGGTGGGGGATTGGACTAGATGACCTACAAGGTCCCTTCCAACTCTTATTATCTGTTATTTGGGTGGAAGAACCAATATTTTAGTAGACTCAAGATCCAATATTTCGAGAGACACGAGCATTGGGCCAACAAAATCGGCAGAGGTGAGAAAAGTAAGGTCTTACCCTTAGGTAGGAAAAACCAAACACACAGGTAGAGAATAGGTACCGTGTTTCTCATATAATAAGGCTGGGTCTTATTTTTTTTTGAGCCCCGAAAAAATGGCTAGGCCATCTTTTTGGGGGTGACTTAATTCCCCCCCCCTTGCATCTTCAGGCAGGTGGCAACCGCTTGGATGTTGACCTCGGCATTGGTGGGGCACTTCGTATCGGGGTCAATGCAGGCAGCACCATATCCGGGTGTGCAACAAAAGTACTTCCTAATGGCAAGCCCCCCCACCATTCCCCCCATTTTACATGTTTTAATATAGGACTTAATTTGGGGGGAGGGGCTTAATTTCATTTCATGCCTATAAAACATGCTGGGACTTCCTATTGGGGGAGGCCGTATTGTTGGAGAAACAGGGTAGTACCTGGCTCAACAGTATTAAATGTGAGATGAATCTATCTAGGTGTCCTACTGGACAGGCGTGAGCCAGAAGTGTGCTGCAGCTGCTAAGAAAGGCCAATGAAGTCCTATGCTGCATCGACAGAGGGATTGTGTCATGAGAACAAGAGTACCGCTTCACACTATGCTAATGAGACCACACTTAGAATACTGCATCCAGTTCTGGTCACCACAATACAAAAAAAAATATTAAGACCCTGGAAAGTGCAAAGAAGAGCAACTATGATGATAAAGGGTCTGGACACTAAATTGTATGATAATCAGTTGAGGGAGCTAGAATAAGTAGACTATTGAATAGAAGGATTAGAAGGAACCATGGTAAGGGAGCTTTTAAGAAGTATTTAAGCTGTGCTTACTGTGGCATTCTGGGAAATGCTCAGGCTCACAAACCCTTCCATTTGGGAGAGAGCCATCCATTTGTATGCACTCATAATCCCAAATGCCTCCATCAGTCCCAGAGGAAGGGGATCTCCCAGTGCAGAAATATTTCACCACAATCCTTCACAATCCTTCTGGGTAACCCACCAGCTGGATAGGAGAATGATTATTTCCTCCCCACGATGCTTCCAGCAAATGACATTCAGTGCAAATGGCTTTTTTTCCTGGGTATAATACAGATAGTCCTCATTTACCATTTGCCTCATTTAGCAACCATTCAAGATTATTTGGATGGTATATAAAAAACAGTTTGGCAAACAATCTTTGCATTTACAACCATCACATTGTCCCCCAATCCTGTGATAGCCATTAACATGCTTCCCAACCAGCTTAAGGCAAAATTCATGTGGAAGACGGAAAATAAAACCAAAGGTAGCAGTCATTTGATGTCTCCCTTAATGTCCCTGTTGATTTGCTTAATGACCAGAAGAGGTCAAAAGCCTGTAAAGCGATTTGCCAGAATTGCCCGTCACAATTGTGGTCACTAAATGAGGGCTACCCGCCTTCATTCATCAGGCTTCATTCAGGCTTCTCCTTCCTGCGATTGATGGGGAGGAGACCAATGTGCAGTAGGGAGTCTCTCTGGGTGGCTTTCCTATTAGAGAGCTGGTGGGCTGCATGGGGAAGGTGCTGTTGCTGGACTAGGAGTGGGCCTCTCCCTCCTCAGCCATGAAAGGTCCCTCCACTTAGTGTAGTTCTTGCTTCTTGCACGGGGAGCTTCTTCTTCTTTTTCTGTGGTGATGATGAGTGAATCCTTGGGAGGCCCAAACAAACAAGTTAGGGATAACCATTATGGAGAAAGTCTGATTGATGTGATCACTGGAGTGAAAAAAATAACATGCATAATCAATAAAAAAAAAATCCTGGAGCTGCCTTAAGTAGAGATTGGAAGGGCATGGTTTTCAGCTTTATGTCATTAAATAGAGCACTATAGATGAGCAATGCCTGCGCTAAACAACTGTAGAGCATTGGTAACTGAGGCATAAGGAGTTTAAACATTTGAACAGTAAATTCCTAGAGAGGATTTGGAGGAGCTTCCTCTTCCTGCTCTCCACTGAGACGGGGGAGGGAGGGAGAGAGGCCCTCCTGGTCTTCCCAAGGTGGAAGCAGCAGCCGAAAGGTGAGCTGAGCGCAGGTGGAGGAGAGGCCAGAAGCAAGTAGGGCTGTTTGGGTTTCCCCAAGGTGTAAAAGCAGAGAAGCAACAAGGCTGAAACATGTCAGCTGCTACATATTCCTTCCCTCCCCAGATTGTATTCCCTTGCTGATGCAGGCTTTAAAATTGGTTCCTGCATTTTTTTTTTCTGTGTTGGGAGAGTCCGGGTTGTGGAATAAGTTTCAGTCAGAATTCTGATTTGGTGAGACGCCAGAGAACTCAACACAAGAGAGAAACCATATAAAAATGTCTAGATTGTGGGAAACATTTCAGTCAAAATTCCAGCCTGGCAATACACCAGAGAACTCACACAGGAGAGAAAGCATATGAGTGAACAGATTGTGGGGAAAGTTTCTTTCGGAATTCAGATCTGGTGATACACTAGAGAAGTCACACAGGAGAGAAACTGTACGACTGTCCAGATGGTGGAAAAGATTTTAGCACTAGGTCTAGTCTTTTTTTTGTGTGTATATGTTTTATTTGCAGTTTTCCTTTAACAACCAACATTTTTTGTGGCCAGTGTAATGTCTGGGTTAACATATTTTTCACACAGTACTCACAATAATAATACAATTGCATACACATTTTTCACCTTCCAATTTCTAACCTTAACGTGCTCATTATAATTATAATATATTCTTTTATGGATCAATATATATTCTACTATTTTCCCAATTTATATTTGTTTATTTTTCCCATTTGTTGGGGTTCTATATCTTCCTCCAAAAATATATGTAAACATCAATAACATTTCTTCTTTGTAAGCATCACTTTTCACTATTTCACTTAGCTCAGTTGCAAGAAGTGAAACACGATTTGATAGCCTTTATATAGTGATAACATCTTGCAAACGCTTTAGGTACAGACGGGACAAATGTGTTTTTCTGCTTTTTTCAGGAGATGGCAGTCAGATAAGCAACATCTGTGCCTGAAAAAGTGCCTAATAAAGGAGTTAAAACCATGGAGTACCGTAGTGCTAGAAAGGACTGGAGGAGTGGAGAAGCGCGGGGGAACTTCGTCTTCCTGATGACTCATAGGAGGAAGGTGGTGCTGTTCCCAGGATCGAAGCAGCAGCTGGCAGGTGAGTTGGGGGCAGCAGGTGGGAGGAGAGTCCGGGAGCAAGTCGGGCTGTTCGGTTCTCAACTTTGATGTACTTTCCTGGGAATGCGAGGGGAGAGGAATTGCCTGTGGCCATCTGTTTTGTCTC